CTGTATAGATAATCTTGTTACAAGATAAGAATTCCTGTCTGTGCATGTATTTCCAAATCAAATTGGAAAGTTGTTGCTAGTATAGCTAGCAATTGTGCCTTCATTGGACCGATAAATATATTTCTTGTTTGACATTTTAATAGTGTAGGAGAAACAGCCCAATCCCTAATAGGAGAGTTTCTGAGGATCCTCCCAAAATGATGGGAGAACATGTTTGTTTTATGAAGCCAGCCTGCTATCAGAGAGGGGCATTCCAATTCCAGCTCAGAGGAATTCTGAATTCCTGATATCCTGCAACTCAATCAGTAGGATAATTATCTAATATTGGCTTATAACTAACCCAAGGATTAAATAGCCTTAACATTTCGGGATGTCTTGAAGATCTCCTTGGCCAACATCTCCTGAGACTTACACACACATCAGGCACTTGGAATTGAGCAGGCATATGGCTTCTGGCAGAGCCATTTTCTACCCATGCAGGATACCATCTTTCTGATCCTTAAGCTTATTTTTAGTCTTCCTGGAGATACTGTCCCAAACCTTTCAGGCACTGAGATGATATGATGATGCCATCTCTGAAAAAGAAACATTCCCAACTGAGGGTGACAAGAGTCTGTAAAGCCCTACCAATGCCAATGTTATCAGGGGACAGGCTTCCTGTAAAGTCACATATTAGTCAGATTTTGTAGCAAATGTGAGAAAGTCCATTCAACTACTGTTTGAAAACCTCCCATCACTTACAGCTACTGATCCCTTACAAGAACAGGATTCAACAGGCATGTGTGTTGCTAGGAAGCACTAACTTATGAATTAAGGATGTCTTTATACTTTAGATCAATAGAGTACTATTCAGCAAAAAAAAAAACCAATGGAATCCTGACAATTGCAGGCAAATGGATGGCACTAAAAGAAAACATCCTGAGTGAGGTAACCCAGTCACAAAAAGAGAAACATGGCATGTACTCTCTCATATATGGATTTTAGACATAGGTCTGGGGAGTGCCAGACTCCAATCACATGGCCAGATAGTTTGGGAAACAGAACCATCATTCAGTGCCTGATGGAAGCAGAGGCAGACTCCCACAGCTAAACACTGAGCTGAACTCAAGAAATTCAGTGACAAGAGTTGGAGGACTCATGAGCAAAGGGGTTAAGACTGGGCTGGTTAAACCCCCAAACCAGCTGACCTTACAAGGGTTAGCTCTTGAATCCCAGACTGATGGCTGGGATCTAGCATGGGGCTGATCAAGACCCCCTAACGTGGGTGTCATTGAGTAGGCCTAGGTAATCTATTGAGTCTTGGGTAGTAGATCAGTATGTATCCCGGGTATACAAATGGATTTTGGACACCCATCCAACAATGAGAGATGCACTCTCACCCTGGACTCTGTGGAGAGGGTCTAGGCCCTGCCATGGATGAAATGGTAGACTATGGACACCCCTATGGAGGGCCTCACCCTCCCTGGGGAAATGAGGGGGTTTGGTGGGAGGGAGTTGAGGAGGGAAGGGAAAGGGAGAAGGATGTGAAATTGACATGTGAAGCAACCTTGTTTCCAATTTAAACTTAAACTTAAAAAAATAAAACAAAAAAGAAAGTCTTTGTATTTGAGATTAAGTGGCAGGTCTCTTAACTCTTAGTTGTCAGCACTTTCCTAGGGACACAGAGCATGATAACACCTCTTGGTAGTCTGCTAAACTCAAAAAGTCCCTGCACACTGACCCAAAAGCAAAAACATGGCCATGCTCAATCCTTCCACTTGAATTAATGCACATGTCTGATGTGACCCACAACAGTGCTGTAGAAGCAGGTGCCTTGTTGGAGGCTGGCATAGTTACAGAAGGTGCTAAATGATGTTCAGATGTCAACCCATCATATGCGTTACACTATGATGGAGCTTACCCCTGTCCATTCAAGCCCTGCATGTACATCAACTCTGAAAACAGTTCTTTTCATTTCCCGAAGCACCGTGATATCTTCCCAATGTATGCATTGCAGTGTATTATCACATGGGATTTGTGTATGTCATCTCATGATTACATCTCAGTCTTACAGACACAGATATCTGTGGTTGATCACCAAGATAACTTTTCATTAGGTATATAAATTGGTATGTAGGAAATGTGCAAGGACATGCTTCATAACTACATCTTTTTCTACTACCTGGACTGTAGACACGTATTACCTTGCTTTGTTCCTTTGACTCACACTAACTGCACACAATCACCTCATTTGAACCTCACAACACATTCAATCTAGACTTTCTCCTGACACTATCATGAACACAGACTAATCAATTTCTGGGAAGTAGATGTCAGAGACCAGTCATGATGTGCTCTTGCACCAATGATTCTATCCATTAATATTTTATTATACTCTGGTATTAATGTGAACCCAAAACATGAAAAAATAAACAAATAAGTCAGAGAAATGCTTATATTGTCATGTCTCTTTCAACACATCTGAGATACAATTAGGAGACCACAATGACTACTGCAATTGAATTAGCAATGTACAATTGTCCCTCTTGCAATATAACACAAATAAGAGTCCTGAGGAAATAGACAAATTCAATTCAGTAGTTGAAATCCTGAATTTCACCTCTCGGATTGACTAAGGGAAATGATCTGTAGTTAGAATTGATAGAGAGGGGCCAAATCTATGCTGGGAAATATGACACAAAGCAGTTAGAGTTGTAATACATGAGAACATTTGCTGAGCAAGTCAGAAGAATCATGCCACTGAACAACAGTTCTCTGTGGTCTCTGGTTTAGCGCATATGTCCAGGTCCTGCCTTTTCTCCTGTTTTGGCTTGCCTAGAAAACAATTTATAAAAACACATGATGGAAGGCAGTTGATCTTGCTCCATGTTGTTTTTAATCAGTGCAGTATCATACCCATGAAGCAGCAATAAGGAACACTCATAGACACTCATATACACAAAAAATAACACAATAAAAAGAAAATATCATGCATTCAAAGGCAATACATGCATAGTGGAATCCTCAACTCAAACTGTAAGTACCAAGAAGGCAAATGATAACCTACTGAAACACACAAAGATTGTGAAGGCTAGCCTACATGAGTTTGTCCACTAGGAATAACCCCTTGGTTAAAGAAACAAAACTTTCTTGGAACACACAAAACACACCAACTATACCCATTAAGTCATGACTTGAGAAGATGCCCTGTGTTCTGAGGGACTGAAAAACAGTCCTATGAAGTGACAGGAATAAATAAATTGTATTAAAGTCTACAGAAGCAAAAAAACTGTAAGGGCTTTGAGGAACACTAGAAAATTCACAGGAATTAACATTTGTCCATTAATCTGAATGTTGGAATATAATGAACTCAACTGCCTATGAAAATCCTCAAATGTACTCCCGATGGAAGCCATTTAGGATTCCTCTAGGCCTTCTCTTCTCTCTCTCATTGTAAGATGCAGTCCCCCATACTCATCCCTAGCTCTGCCTTGTCTTCTGCCTCTGCTACCATCACCTATGAGTCCCAAAGGTATGTCCCTTGGGCAACAAGTAGGCTTTAGGGAGAACCACAACTTTCAGAGACCCAATGCTCCCAGGCTCATCCTCAGCTCTGTATTAGGAAACCTGCTGCACTCTCACATTCCTCTCTGACCCCATTCATAGAGTACAAAAGAACGTCATCCAATGTTCCATTCCCAATATCAACCAAGCAGTCCAGTCTCCAACATGTACAGACATTCCCTGTAAAAACACAGATAGCAGGACACACAGCAGACAAGTGGCAAAAACAAAAATCTCTGAAATACTCAGAGAGAAAACTGATCCAATAAACATAGCATTCATGCAACAAAAAAACAAATGAAGCAATCTGCCCATCGACCTCATACTTTTCCCAAACCCAGATGCTTAGAGTCCAGCAGAATGACATGTTGAGCAACACAGAGGGAGATATGTCCCCTGTAGATATGAGAGATATTACTGTACTGAATGTGCCAAATATTTGTACATAGCTGATAGACATGACACACAACAACAAAATAAAAATATATCAAAACAACAAACAATAAAACAATTAAGTAATATCATATGAAGAAGATAATGGTCCATATATAAAGCATTTAACCAAGCTCGGGACTAAGTATTTGGAGGAAATGCAAAAATCCAAGCACACTCAAGTAAATAATAGAACAAAATACATGAATAAAATACAGGAGAGGGTGCTCTGGAAATGAAAAATATGGGATTATGAACAGGAACTACAGAGGAAACATTGCCTAAAAAATACAAGAGGTGGGAGTGAAAATCTCAGGCTTTGAATGTATAATAGGAAAAATAGATATATGGGTTTAAGAAAATATTAATTCTAAAATTATCCTGACACAAAACATACAAACATTCCAGGACACTTTTAAAGGATTAAACATAAGAGTAATTGCATTAGAGAAAGAAGAATCCCAGCTCAAAAGCCCAGAAAATATTTGTAATGAAACCATTGAAGATCATATTCCTATTCAAAGGAGATTCCTGCCACGTAAAAGAAACAAACAAAACACCATAATGACTGGAGCAGAAGAGAAATTCCATGGACACATAATATAATAGTACTGGACTGATACAAAAGACAAGAATATTAAAAGCTTTAAGAACATAAAGGAATGGGGGAACAGGAAGTTGAGTGGGTCGGGGTAGAATAGGGGGAAGAGGGAATCATAGGATAGAAGACAGATCAGGCACAGGGTGACCTTGAGTGATCTAAAAGGATAACACCAATTGGCAAGCTAAGCAATAGTGGAGAGACCACCTTGAATGCCCATTCCTGATAATGAACTTGATGTCTATAACCATCCGGGAGCCTTCATCCTGTGACTGATGGAAGCAGAGGCAAACACACAATTAAGCACTGAACTGAACCCAAGGAACCCAGTGACAGAGAGAGATGAGTGATGAGCAAATTGGCAAAGAATGGGCTGGCAAAATCAGCAGAGACAGCTGATCTGAACAGGGGAGAGCTCTTGGACCACAGAGCGACAGTGGGGAGGCCAGCATGGGACTGATCTGGACCCCCCAAATGTGAGTGTCAGCGAGAAGGCCTAGGAAACCTATGGGGCCCTGAGCTGTGGATCAGTGTCTATCCCTGGAATACAAACAGTCATCGTGTGCCTATAGCACAAACAGGCATGCTCTCTCAGCCTGGACTCTTAGGGGAGTGCCTGGGACCTACCCAGAGTGAAATGACAGACTCTAGATATCCCCTATGTGGAAGGATTTGGCAATAGGGTGGGAGGGTGGGGGGAAGGGAAGTGCGGGAGGAGGGGAGGGAGAGGGAACTGGGATTGACTTGTAAAACAAGCTATTTAAAATTAAAATAAAAAATGATAAAAAATAAAACTATATATATATATATCAGTACAGGTAACGTGAAAAAAAAGAACATAAAGGACCATGTTACTAAATTACAACTGACATCTCAGTGGAGATTCAAAGAGCCACACGGGCACTGACAGAAGTGCTCCAGACTCTAAGAGACCACACATACTAACCAATACTACCACACCCTATACAACATTCAATCCCCAGACATGGGAAAATTAAGATACTACATTATAAAAATCAAACTGGAACTATATCTATCTAAAACAAAGCATTGGAGAAGCTTTTAGAAACAAAATTCATACCTAAGGAGGGTAACTAAATCCATGGAAACCCATGGAAAAAATATCACACTAGAAAAACAACAAGAAGGAAAACACACATGCACATGTGATCACACTGAAACACACACAAACACACACACACACACCAATTACAGCTTGAGAACTAAAACTACCAATAAAAATAAAAGATTTAAAACCATTGGGTTTAGTTAGCTTTCAATGTCATTTATCTAAATTGATCAATACAAAGACAAAGACTATCAAAATGAATGTGAAAACAGGATTCGTGCTTCTGATGCAAGAAAGACACACATCTCCACATCAAGAATAGACATTACCTAGGTGAAAGGACTGGAAAAATATTTTCCAAGCCTGGGGGCATACGGAACAAGCTGTTGTGCACACTTCCATATCTGAAAAAAAAACCATCCTGTTCTACAAAGCTACAGAAAGAATCCCTGTATCAAAAATATTTAAAAAATTATTACTTGATGATGTATTGTAGTCTATTAAATTGGAATTCAGTAGAGAAAATAGAAGTAGCAAACATTAAGCAACACACACAAACACAGACACACACACAGATATATAAGATTATACACACAGACACAGACACGCACACATATAAAAGTTTATACACAGAAAGACACATAGACACACACCCAGCACGTAGGGAGACTGAGACACAAAGATAATGAGTATGTAGACATTTTAGACTAAAACAATAATAAAATAAAGAGAAAATGAAAATATTAAATTACTCAGTCAATTAGTCAACAACCAGATTACTGTTTGGCTGTTCTCAGAGGAGAACATAATAAATCCCTAGCTCTAAAAGCCAGGAGGAAGTAAAGTATAATAATGAGGTAAGATGGGGCCTCTGACTTCCTTAGTGTGACAAATATCATCAAGAGATGGGTGGACATCTTGGAGATCTGGGACACTGGAGGAAGATTATCTGGATTACTTCTTTTTTTATCATTTTTTATTTTAATTTTAAATAGCTTGTTTTACATGTCAATCCCAGTTCCCTCACCCTCCCCTCTTCCCGCACTCCCCTTCCCCCCCCTCCCACCCTATTGCCAAATCCTTCCACATAGGGGATATCTAGAGTCTGTCATTTTACTCTTGGTAGGGTCAAGGCACTCCCCTAAGAGTCCAGGCTGAGAGAGCATCTCTCTTTGTGCTATAGGCACATGAAGACAGTTTGTATACCAGGGATAGACACTGATCCACAGCTCAGGGCCCCATAGGTTGCCCAGGCCTTCTCACTGACACTCACATTTAGGGGGTCCAGATCAGTCCCATGCTGGCCTCCCCACTGTCACTCTGTGGTCCAAGAGCTCTCCCCTGTTCAGATCAGCTGTCTCTGCTGGTTTTGCCAGCCCATTCTTTGCCAATTTGCTCATCACTCATCTCTCTCTGTCACTGGGTTCCTTGGGTTCAGTTCAGTGATTAGTTGTGTGTTTGCCTCTGCTTCCATCAGTCACAGGATGAAGGCTCCCTGATGGTTATAGACATCAAGTTCATTATCAGGAATGGGCATTCGAGGTGGTCCCTCCACTATTGCTTAGCTTGCCAATTGATGTTATACCTTTAGATCACTCGAGGTCACTCTGGTGCCTGATATGTCTTCGATCCTATGATTCCCTCTTCCCCTATTCTACCCCCACCCCCTCAACTTCCTGTTCCCCCATGACCAACTCCCTTCCTCTTTACCCCCTCTATTCTTCCCGGGTCCCACTCCCCCAACCTCTCGCCGTGTTCCCCATCCATTCAGAGGATCTTGTCTCCATCCTCTTCTCTTGGGTACTATGCATATATGCATATCTTTTAGGTTCTTTCCTGTTTCCCAGACTCTCTATCTGTGGAAGTGCAGACTGGCACGTACTTCTTAACTGAACAGTTCTATGCATCTGCCTCCCTAACACAGAGGCCCTACCTGGTCCTCCAGATTCCACTGGATTCTTGGATCAATACTCTCTACATCATGGGTCTTCCTCGCTCCATTAGTTGTCTATATCCGTCTCCTCTTCCCTGCTGGTCCTTCTGGCTCCAGCAGCTCCCAGGATCCATCTTCTCCACACGTGATGTCCAGAATATTTCCTCTGGTTCCATTAACATCTGGTCCATGCCCTTTTTACACAGAACAGAATTCATGATGCTTTGGTCTTCTTGCCTTTGCCCACTATTTTTCATTCCTCCCTTCTTTCCTTCCTCCATTGCTCCCTCCCACCATGACTCCCTCCCTTGCTTCCTCCTTTCCTTTTCCCCTTTCTTTAGCATGATAAACAAAAGACCTGGAGACTGATATTGGGGTTCAAGCTTCAAGATGAAGATTACAAAAGCAAAGCAGTTGACACTGTCTCTTACCCTAATTCAGAATGAAAGACTATCCTGGCTCCACCAACCATCAGACTATAACCTCTCCTCAGTGTGGCTAGAAAATCCTGAGACGGCAATGTCTTCCTATCCCAATGTGACTGGAGAATGAATCCCTGGTACTCTACTAAAGATCCTGCTCTTATCTTTTATACCCCTGTAGTGCTGGGTTTAAAGGCGTGTGATTCCAGGTGCTGAGAGTGTTTTTGTGTTAGTTGTTTGTCTTTAAGACTGGATCAATCTTTTGTATATCTGGGTAACCTTGAATTTACAGTCTTGGGATGAAAGGTCTACGCCTGATTTCTATGGTTTGTGGCTTACTTTGCTTTTGGAATCCTCAAGCAAGCTTTAATAAATCACACATAATATATTACCACACCTTTATTCTTTTTGTGTGACATTTTCTGACATTATATAATAAAATTTAGATATTATTCCTACTGCCCTTTCTCATACTTCTCCCTCTCTTGCTGAAACCACTATCCCTTTCTGCTGTCATGTCTTCTGTAATGTATAACTTGCTAAGTCAAGTTGGAGTTTCTTGTCTAAGTGTTTGCAGGATGTCATTTTCTGAGAAAAGGGCAATTTGTCAGGGGCTGCACCACTAAAGAAAACGCCACACATTCCTGAGCAATCATTAAGAAACTATTGTCCCTCAGGTGGAAGTACACCGGGGAAACCCATATCATCCATGATGAATGTTGACAAGCCCAGTCCTGTGCAGTTCGTATGTGGGTCACATTTGCTCTGTCATTTCCAAAACTGTTTGTTGTTGCTGCTGCCATTCTCCACAGTCTCAGCTCCTACATATTTCCTGACAACCTTCTAAAATGTTTTCTAAATCTCAGGGGTTTGAGATAACCATTCCATTTAGGGTCCAATTGTCTCCCAGCACTGATGTTGAGAATTTTTGTGAGTGATCAGCTTCTGCATCAATGACCACTCACTGTTTTCTTTTTGAACTATCTGTGTATTGTGATTCAAATGAATCTCTCTACTTTTTCAGCTGCTTTGACCATGGGTTTTGTGACAACAGTGAGAAGAATATGTAACACACTTACCTTCCTTTAACCCAGCACCTCCTATGTCAAGCTGATATCAAACAATATTCTCAGACACCTTCCATTGTGAAGTAACAAAGTCAAGTTGTCAGAGGTGGATCTGGAAGGAAGAAGTAAATCCTACTGAATCAGGAAACACATGACTGGTGGTTCTCGGCAGCATTTGAGGACACTGCCATTCACATTTTCTAGTGTTCAGAAGAGTGATTTTATTTAAATGGATGTATTTATCCTAAAAGCCACTTTAGAACAAACTTACAAGGATTGAATTGAATAAGATACACTTTGTCAATACATCTCATGTGACACTTAATACTTGGTGGTCTGAGGTGTCTAAATACAACTACTGGAGAGTAGTTTTCAATTTCGGGAGAAAATGTTGATGTTTTAGGAGTTACATAGCTCTTGTCAGGATTAGTTAATAGCCTTGGATCCCAATGATAATCTGACTATGGATCAGGTAGAATCCTTCCTTCCTTTTTTCCTTGTCTCATTCCTTCTTTCCTACTTCCTTTATTCCTCCCTTCATTTCTTTCTTCCTTTCTTTCTGAGATATAACTTCAGAAACTGAATTTGTTGAACAATCTAGCCTGTACTTTCAGTATCAACACCACAGAAGTATACAAAATTAAAAAATGGGTAATATTGACTTTGATTCCTCTGATGTGCACTACCTAACCAGTACATGGTTCACTAAATTTCATATACCTCATTCTATTTTCAGATTAAATTTATTGTCATTATGCGTTAGCATTTATCCTTGTGCCCTCAATCTTCATATAGTTTGGCTCATGCAGGTAACACCTGATTACAAAGTCATGTCAAATACATAGTTGAGTTTTTCAAAACCCATTCTGTAAACACCGTGATTGGAGAAAGGGTGATTAAGGAAGTGTGGCTTATTACTATTTTCACTGCAGCATTATGAAAAATTTACTGTTGGCATGGTTGCAGATGTCTGTAATCCTACCTATGTCAAAAGGAAGAGACAAATACATGAGAACTTTTGAGCCAATCTGGGTTTCATGGTGAGACCCTTATGTCAACAAAACAGAAAAAAATCTTAGTACGGACAAGAGAGCCATTGGTGCTTCAAATATTTTGTCATTTTTTGTGACAAATATTTCATAGTAACTGCAGATGGCTGTATAAATGAGAGAAAAAAAACCACAAAGTTGAGTTTGCAAGATGCAATATATCTTAATAAGTACTTGAGACGAAGAAAAGTGGCCTAAGTAAAAATCCTTCCAGAATGATCTATTTCATGTGTACTGATTTGTGTGCTTATAATGAAGGCTCCTAGAGAAAGTCACTTTTTTTTCTTTTTTTTTTTAATTTTATTTTCCAGTTTAAATTTAGATAAGAAACGAGGTTGCTTCACAAGTCAGTTCCAGGTCCCTCTCCCATTCCCTCCCCTCCTCCCGTGCCCTCCCCCCAGCCCCCCCAAGTCACTTTTAATGTGGCAACCTTTATAGAAATCTTAATATTTAAGAGAATAAATAATAAAACATAATTACAGCATACAAGTGATTCTTTTTTTGGCGTTTCGAGACAGGGTTTCTCTGTTGTATTTTGAGGCCTGTCATGGAACTCGCTGTGTATACCAGGCTGGCCTCGAAGTCACAGAGTTCTGCCTGCCACTGCCACTGCCTCCTGAGTGCTGGGATTAAATAAAGGCTTGCACCACCAACACCTGGCTATACAAGTGATTCTTTAATGAGATAAATTAAATGCTTAATATCTTAAAAGTTTTTCATTCTTATTTATATAGATGTGAGAATGTGCATTCCCCATTGTTAAGAAAGGTGTTGGATTATATAGAGCTGGAGTCATTGATAATTCTGAACTGCCATGTATGTGCTGAGACCTGACAGCCCAACTCTTAATGACTTTTCTGAAGCTTTTACCTTATTCATTCTCTCTCTCTCTCTCTCTCTCTCTCCTCTCTCTCTGTCTCTCTCTCTCTCTCTCTGTCTCTCTCTCTCTCTGTCTATCTATCTCATGGTGATACTGAATATTTTAGAAAAAAATTATTGGGTACAAATTGCTTCTTAATATAAAACTAGAGTTTGGCTACTTATAAAACAGGAATGTACATATGGAGAAATTTGCCCAGCTTTTAGCGCTTAGTCAAGAGCATCAAAGCAGGTTTTCAGCCTTTCACACCAATGGTTAATTTGATTTTTCCTCTGTAAAATAGAACAGCTGCCATTCACGTCTTATTAGAGTAATCAGAGAAATGTATGAAGCCTAAGGTGAAAGCATATTGTCATTTTCACTGAGTATTTGTTATACTGCTTACAACTTGGGTTAGTATTATTATATGCGGTATAAATTAGGAAAAGTAGATAATCAAAATGTTACTTGAAATAATGTAAGTCTGATAGTGCATCAGGCTGTAGAAAAGAATGAGCATGGACTGATCTATGGAGACACAGCTTGAAGTTCTTCATATCTGACATGTCCATTGCTCAGTCCAGACTATATATGATTTCTACCCATAGTCTCCCACAAGGAACCCTATTGTGTTTGGCTTCACATTAGTTCAGAACTATGAAACACTGAGCCCAGAAGTAAAAAAATGTATGAAGATTTGAGGCTTGGGAAATATTAAAGACTGACTATAGTAAAGTATATGATGTATATTCTACTCTTATAACACCTAATAACTCCAACGTTATTCCAAACTTACAGATGGAGACATAGCTACACAGAGGATAACAAAACTTGCTGAACTTGCAGTCTCTAAATATTGAGAGTGACCACTGTGGCTCAGCAATCATGAAGGTAGCTTTCTTCATTTGTGCATATTAATGAATTAACGAATTAATTTGTACCTATTAATTAATATTGTCTAAAATTCTGCACATATGACTTAGAGTTTGAAAGCTTACAAGCTATGTCAACTGACATAATCAACAAATAATACTTTTGCTTTCTCCATTACCTGACCTCCTCAATACTGTATATGAAATCAGACTTTCGAACCCTCAGATGCTTTAAAAACTCAAACAAACAACAGGCAGCATTGGAGGAAAAGTATTATTATATTCTCATTGGAAGAAATAATTCATTCATTAAGTACTGCTATTCCCTTAATAATTAATTAATTTCTTACTACTAATTGTATGATCTTCAACTATGCAAATTGTTTTGGAAGAGAAGATACACTTTAAACAGAGTAAGTTGTGAATACCTAAATTGTTATAGCCTTTCCCAATAATAAAACAATTAAACTTTAACTTAAAGCAGAATAAAATTAAAACACAGTTTCATATGCAAAAATGCAAACTAGCCAAATACAGCTATTTGTAAATAAGATGAATGGGAAGATGACTGGGCTAATATGTGGCAACATTAGATTTAGGTAGTTCTTTCAAATATATGAATATAAAGTACAAAAAGAATTAACTGCTTATTAACTCACTAAAGATTTCATAGAATAAATGACTAATTTAAAAAATAAGCAATTACATATGTCATGTTAGGGTATAAATTATCATATAAATAATATAACCATCGATTGTACTGCAAGATTTTTTTGTAGGGAAATGTATTGCTGGCCATTTGCATAGAAAAATATTGGTACTGAAAATTGTATATCTGGGTAATGGAAAAAATTTTGCTTTGCTATTAGGGACAGGTACGGTAATGATGGATTTAAGAATAAATGGTTTACCAGGAAGCTGGTCATCTTGCAGAGGTTTTATGTGGTATACAAGGTAAACAGGGGCCACCAGTAATGTTCAATTGTCATAAATTAAAACACATTATAGAATATGTTTCTTTTGCATTGCTGAAGATTGAGCTAAGGGCTTGTCCAAGCTTTTCTAAGTATCACATTTCTTAATTTGTACATTATTCAAGAAATGTCTTACTGACACATCAGAAACATGGTCACCTCACCTTGAAAATAAAAAGAATTGTCTGTGATCTCACATCTATACTCAGGGTTTGTCATCAAGAGGGCTTGCCTTGATGTGTCACAATCTTCTGTGTTTTATCAAAGCTTTTTCCTAACTGCTAAAACTGTGATGAAAACTAAGGCTCTGTTAATGAGCCATGTCCTCAGAGGTAAGTCTCTGGCTGAAGAAGTTCACTGCAGCCAGATGGTTCTCAGCCTAGAGGTGAAATCCTGATATCATTAGAAGTAATGCCAAAATATCTGTCCCCCAACACTCTCACCTCATGGTCAGAGTCAGTGTCTCCCCATGGATCTTTGCCATATATTTTCCAGAGTCACTTGGGAAATAGTAAGAGAGTGTAAGTTCCATGTAGCATTGGGCTCATGATGTCAATCACTTGGAAGAGGTGACCTAATAGACCTGCCGGGGATGTTCATACTTTGCATACAATGTCATAGTGATTCATCAGTCTGAAAGTCTTGTTATGTAAGCTCAGCTGTCCTCAATCTGGTGATCTCCTGCTGCAACTGCCCAAGAGCTGGGGCTATGGGTGTGTTCCACCATGGTGAGATTCAGAAGAACATTTACAATTGAGAACTTCGGAACTGGTGTCCTAGATATTTTGTTTTAAAATCGTACAATATCTTTCACTATCCCAGTAACGAATCATTACTGTATCTCAAGATAGAACTACATATTTTTGAACAAATCTTCTAGAAATTTCTTGCCCACAAACAACTGGAAACCCTGGTTTGATCCATGAACTACACAATGGGGGCTGGAGTATGGTGCTGAGTTTAACAACAGACACTTCTTTTACAGGTAAGTAGGCTGTGCACAATTGCTTGACTCCTAATCTCTCCTAATCTAGGGCATCTGAATACGAATTCTAACAGACAGCCACTAAACTCACATGTGCAAATCCACAGAGACACAGAAATAAAATAAAAACTGGGTCTATTTTTAAAAGACTACACAAAAAAGTTACAAAAATTAATATGACAAACCATATATATATATATATATATATATATATATATATACTCGTGTGTGTGTGTGTGTGTGCGTGTGTGTGTGTGTGTGTGTGTGTATGTGATCCAAAAAAGAAAGCTGAAATGTCATTAGGGCTTCCTGTTGTGATCAGGAGCATAATGCAAACTATATACAAATGAACATAAACTTTTATTATAATACTTATAAACACACACACACACACACACACACATACACACAGAGTTCTACCTCTTGTAATTAGTACTCTGATTCCAGAATCTCAGCCTTTCTTGAATCTCTGTGGCTGTATCCCTGGCTCTTCTATATTTTATAAGACAGGTTTCTAGACATTTTCAATATGTTATTACATTTTAATCTGAATCCAACTGAATGGAAAAGTCCAGGCTGAAGTAAATCAAAACATCAGAATCTCATTGATCTGAGGCTGGTTTAAAGTCCTGAGATCTGATCATTATAAGTGTGCTATCAGACACCATCTGGGAGAAGAAACTATCACCCTAGGCAGGTGAGAACCCTACTTTTGAGACAAAACTTCATAATGATTATGTTTAATTAACCTACATAACATGGCCTTTTCTTTGACATTCAGGTTACCTACTGAAACATTAGCTGAAATTGATGAAGAACATATTAACATGTAATAAGTCTTGAATAAGCTAATGGGTTCCATTAGCTTATTTCTTATTTCTTCCCCACATTACTGGGGATGAAATCCAGGGCATCAAATATACCGAGGACACATTGTGTCCTTGAGTCAACCCCAGTCCTTCTTCCCTTCTCTTCTCGACTGCGTGGAAAGTGCAGGATAAAGGGCAGGTATCCCGAGATACCAGGATAAAGGGCAGGACTGTCAGCACCGTCAAAGACAGTAAATCACCAGGTTGCAAATATGAGAAACTTAAATCCACTGTTCACTATTTCTAGAAACATGGTTATTAATGGGTTTCTAGGAAGGTAAGTGATGAGTTTGAAAATCCATGAGGGTCAGAAAGGATGACAAGCCCTATCACATCTATTTTTCACCTGGGAACATGGCCTTGACTTCTTGTACACAGGTAAGCACACAAATGAGAGGTGAGTCCTGTTCATTGGGATCAAAGCCCCTCCTGGGGCACCATGACATTTCATTTAATTCAAAAGATGTCAATGTGAAAATTCCAGTTCTGGAAGAGAAAAAGCAGACTCACAGTCAAGCAGATATCCCTGCAACTCTCATTCTTCCCTCTCCCCTCCATCATTCTCTCCTCTTTTCTCCCCCTTCCTTTCTTTTCTTCCTGCCTCTTCCCTCCTATCTATGACCTCTCTGCTTTCCCTTTCACTTTTCTATCCCTCCCCCTCCTGTCACTCCTCTACACAATTCTTCCTCCAGCGCAGGTGGCATGGAAGTCCTCCTTCTGTTACTAGTGATCGCTGTAATTGGTGTTCTAATAGAACTTGTCTCTTTGCCATAGTCCCAATGGCTCCCCTCCTGCTCTGTTTCTTCTCCTCCTACTCTTCCTTTCTTTGTCCTCCTCCTCAATCCTCTCCTTTTCATACTCCTTTATGTGTACCTCCCTTTCCATCTTTATCTCTCTTGATCCATTTCTTGTAGATTGACTTAATGAGACAAAGGAATTCAACAGCAGAAAAGAAAAGGAATCAAGCAAAAAGTCAGGTCTTTTCAAGCCAATTATTGTGAGGAACAAGTGGGAATTGTGCTAAAACCTGAGACCACTAGTCGTTGTTTAAAAATATCCAGGGTACAAAAATTATTCCAAAACATCAGGATTATTCAGTGCTTTCCCAACCCTAGCTCTGCTGAGGAATTCAGACTAACGTGACAATGAGAATGATAGGGGATGATACTCTTATGCAGTGCCTGGTGTGGAATTTCTTCAACCTCTTTCTCTTGAGGTCACTTCTTGGCTGTTTGTCTTAGAAACCAGTAGTGGTATCAGCACATCTTTTAAGAGGAGCTGATGTTAATTAAAATGTGCACCTGTAAAGGAGGCCTCTCCCACATTCAATTAAGACCCTCTGGACATTACTTAGTTTTTAAAGTGTTCTGAGCCATAGAGAATTTTGCTCTTGTACCTTCCAGGCTCAGATCCTACATATTCACAGTTTATATTTGGGTGAGCAGACCACTGCAACTGATTCTGGCAGCATCATCTGGTAGGAAAAATGTGTGTGTACATCCACACTTGACAAGAAGGCTGTCTGGGTTGGATGCGTCTAAGGAGACAAAGGAATTCAAGAATTACCAGTGAGCCCCAAATCTGATCCAAATAAAGAGGTCGCAAGGAGTTTCAACAACTGGTTCCCACCCTGATTCCCCACATCATGACAGGACTAATCTGTCTGCTAGATGGAGATGGAAGTGGGAATGATCTCTTTGTCCTTCTCATTCATAAAGGTCTGAAGAAGCTGAGCATTGAACACTTCTTAGCTGGTCCTTCACTAAATAAAAGGTCCTTTATTCTCCCATGCCTAGTTATACTTGATGTCTAAAGAGTAACCGTTCCAAGTTTTGTCCTTCAGCTTCTAACCTACTTCTGATTCCCTACTGCCAACAGCAGAGTCTGATTCCATCATCACCAAGAGTTCCCAGGACTACTTCAAACATCAGTTCAATAGTCTCTCTGGGTCTTCAGCTTCCTGTCTTCAATGAAGCTACTGAGACCTGTGTTATTTCTCCCTGTGTGAAGAGGAGTCCCATATGGCTTTATTTTGTGGTACTGTACACCCTGTTATCTTATTGTTTTAAGCTTCCTCCCTCCCCTCTTTCACTGGCTCACCAGGTGTAAGCACACCCCAGACAATTGCACACCACCGTGGGGATGAACCATGCACATATTATGGTAAGGAAGACAGATGCAAAACTTAAATATCTAACCGCTGCATTTCACGACACAACAGTACTGAAATACTGATAGCATGGAGGGAGGGCACACTTAAGAGATGAACTCTAATGAAATGGAAGAAGTGATGGTTATAGAAAGAGTGGCAAAGCTGGACCAGGCAATTGGAAGGTTCCTGTTTCCTTCTCTAAGTGGTGTATGCACATAGATATATCCTCAAGGAGTCATTAAATTACACTGTACATGTATGATACTTGCAAGAAAGATATATTTTAAAATATAAAACATTTGTAAAAGGAAGGGAAGTCAAAAATGGTAAAATTAAGAAAACAAAGCCATCTAGACAAGTGCATGACCAAACCATTTCCTAGTACCTGTACACTGGAGGACTCTGTTGACCCAGTTCTGCAGAGTGGCATCATCACTCTCCCTTCCTTGGGATCTACAGCCTAGATGTAAGACTCAATACGACAGTCCTGTGAGACTCTGCAATAGCCATAAACACAACACATATACTTCTTGTCTTGTTCTCTCTATTTATTACATGCTGTTGCCAAAGTCATCCTCCAGCAGTCTTCCTCCTGATTGACAAGATTCCAGGACTGTGCCAGTACACCCAGCATTCTATGGCTTCTTTAAACCTTGCTGTCTCTGGCCACCATGGCCTAAACCTCATAGCCCAGCCTTCTCAATGAACTCCAGCTCCAGCATGAGAACTGAATTCACCACATGACGAAGCCTGTCCCTGGGTCACATCCTGAATTTCTTTTTCTTCCATTTCTTGCATTTTTGGTTTGTTTTTTCTTCCATTTCTTGCATTTTTTGCTTTGTTTTTTTCTTCTGTTTCCTGCCTTTTTTGGTTTGTTTTTTCTTCCATTTCTTGCATTTTTTTGGTTTGTTTTTTCATTCTTTGAGGGATTTTCCTATATCCTCTTTTAGGGCCTCTAGCATTTTCATGATGGCGGTTTTAAGGTCATTTAGTTTTTTTATTTACATTGGAATGTTGGAGTCTTGCTAGTGTGGAGTCTCTAGAATCTGGCTGTGTCATATTTGTTTTTCTGTTGCTGAGTGTGTTTTTGTATTGTCTCTTTCCTATCTCTTCTTCTAGTGGGTGTAGAAAGAACCCCTTACTGGTCTGGTGGTTAGGGGACCAGAGTTCCATTTTGGTGGGTGCTAGCAAGTCCAATAATCTCGTGGTTCTTCTATTCCTTGTCCTTGTTCTGGTCCTGTGGATGGAGAAGAAGACCAGGAATCTGGGCTGCTTAGCCTCCCACCTGGTCTCCTGCTCCCCTTGCTGGATCTGCTGGTATCCTGGTCTTCTTGGTGTAAGAGAAGACCTAGAGGCCCTCCTTGGGGGGATCTCCAAAGTTTGTAATTTCATCCAGGCCAGGATCTAGGCACTTACACATGTGTCCAGGCTGAGAGAGCATCCCTGTATTTGGAATGGGCTCCCAAAGATCAGCCATAACCCTTGGTAAACACTGATCCACTACCCAAGGCCCCAGTGATTTCTGTGGCCTCACTGGCACTACATTCAGGGAGTCTTGGTCAGTCCCCTGATGGCATCTCAGCCATCAGTCTGGGATTCAAGAGCTACCCATTATCCAGTCAGATGTGTTTGTGGATTTCACCATCATTGTCTTTGCCTCATGCTCATTACTCCTCCATCTCTGTCACTAGGTTCCAGGAGTTCAGTTCAGTGTTTAGCTGTGGGTATCTGTCTCTGCTTCCACCAGTCACTGGATGAAGGTTCTACAATGATATATAGGTACCTACCCCAACTTCTAAGACAAATTTATGCAGGTGGTGACACCAGTGGTTCATGACTGGGATATTTGTGTTTGGAATTGCCAATGAAAAAGTAGCTGCCATGCTGAAACCACACTTTGGTTTTATACTATCAAAGGAGATGAGACAGGAAGTCCGCAAATGCTTTAATAGTTTGAGTCAAGGAGAGTGCAGGGGGAAACTGATGAGTCCCCAGAGGTTTTTGATGGCCTTTTGATAACCAGGAAGAACGATTTGAAACACAAGCACTGGATCCATTTGAAGAAATGACTGTTGATATTAGTAGTGCTGATGAATTGTCAGTGGCTAAAATCTATCTGCTGAAATCTCAAAAATTAAAGAAACTTCATCTGCATATACAACACATATTTTTTTCAGAAATTTATAACCCAGAAAATGGTGACTTAGAAGACTTTAATCAAGAGAAGATGTGAGTACATCTTTGAACCTCATCTTCAGTTCTTTCAGTTCTGCCTTAGTGTCCAGGCACTATTTTATAGGTGTGCATGTGTGCACGTTGTATCCTTATGAATTCATGAAGAAGGCAGAGGAAGATGTGGGGTCCTTCTCTATTGTCCTTCATCTTAATCCCTTGAGACAGTCTCTCAGCTATCTTGAAGCTCACCATCTTAACCAGGCTAACAGCCCAGTACGAATTCAGGATCTACCTGTTTCCCCTTTCTCATGCTGGGGCAACAGCCTCATGCAGACATTTCCAGTCTTTTATGTCCATCTGTGCATCTGAACTCGGTTCCTCATGCTTGTACAGAAAACTCCTACCCACTGATTTCTCTCTCCAGCATGGTGTTTTCTAAGTTCTTATATGTCTATGCTTGAGTGTTTAGATGGCATAGTCAGGAAGGATTTCAGTTGAGTGTTGCCACAACCCCAGCAAGTCCAGCTTCAGGAAAGACATCAGCCCTTCCAGGCCCCAAACTCCGTGTCAGCATCCCCAGCTTCAGATTCAGGAAGGAAGGAGACCAGTGGAGACGGAAAGACCCCACCAGCACCCACTGGAAGAAGAGATGGGAAGAAGACAGAATAAGAGCTCACTCAGCAATAGAAAGACCAACGTGACCCCACCAGAATCTAGGGATCCAACACCAGCAAGACCCAAAAAGCACTACATAGACGAACAAGAGGAGACAGACCTTAAAAATTATTTCATGAAGATGATGGAGACCCTCAAAGAAGAAACGAGGAAATCCCTTAAAGAAATAGAAGAAAAAACAAACAATAAAATCCATGAAATGGGGGAAAAATTCAAGAAATAAACAAATATCTCAAAGAATCTAAAGAGCACCAAGAAAAACCAACCAAAAAAATTAAGGAAACAACTCAAACAGTTGAAGGATTGAAAGCTGAAATAGAAACGATAAACACAAAATGAAGGGATGCTGAAAATAGAAAAGCTGGGTAAACGACCAGGAACTACAGATGCAAGTATCACCAATAGAATACAAGAGATAGAAGAGAGACTCTCAGATGTTGAAGACTCATTAGAGGATATAGACTCATCAACTAAAGAAAATCTCAAAACCAACAAATCCTTAACACAAAATATCCAGGAAATATGGGACACCGTGAAGAAGCGAAACCTGAGAATAATAGGTATAGAAGAAGGTGAGGAAATACAACTCAAAGGTACAGAAAACATATTCAACAAAATCATAGAAGAAAACTTCCCCAACCTAAAGAAGGATATGCCTATGAAAGTACAAGAATCTTACAGAACACTAAATAGGCTGGACCAGAAAAAGAAGTCACCTCGTCATATAATAATCAAAACATCAAACCTACAGAGTAAAGAGAAAATATTAAGAGCAGCTAAAGAAAAAGGCCAAGTAACATACAAAGGCAGACCTATCCGAATTACACCTGACTTCTCAATGGAAACGATGAAAGCCAGAAGATCCTGGTCAGATGTCCTACAAACACTAAGGGAACAAGGATGCCAGCCCAGACTACTATATCCAGCAAAGCTCTCAATTACCATAGATGGAGAAAACAAAATATTCCATGACAAA